AACTGCCAAGTGCATATTCCACTTTTTTTTTCTTTTTTTCAATGTTCTTTTTTTTTAATTTATTTATTTATTAAAGATTTCTGTCTCTTCCCCACCGCCGCCTCCTCTTTCCGTCCCCCTCGCCCAATCAAGTCCCCCTCCCTCGTCAGCCCAAAGAGCAATCAGGGTTCTCTGCCTTGTGGGAAGTCCAAAGACCACCCTCCTCCATCCAGGTCAAGTAAGGTGAGCATCCAAACTCCCTAGGCTCCCACAAAGCCAATACGTGCAGTAGGATCAAAAACCCATTGCCATTGTTCTTGAGGTCTAAGTAGTCCTCATTGTCTGCTATGTTCAGCAAGACCGGTTTTAACCCAGGCTTTTTCAGACCCAGGCCAGCTGGCCTTGGTGAGTTCCCAATAGAACATCATCATTGTCTCAGTTTGTGGGTGCACCCCTCGCGGTCCTGAGTTCCTTGCTCTTGCTCTCTCTCCTTCTGCTCCTGATTTGGACCTTGAGATTTCAGTCCGGTGCTCCAATGTGGGTCTCTTTCTCTGTCTCCTTTCATCGCCTGATGAAGGTTAATATTCAGGAGGATGCCTGTATGTTTTTCTTTGGATTCTCCTTCTTATTTAGCTTCTCTAAGAACCCGAATTATAGGCTCAATGTCCTTTATTTATGGCTAGAAACCAAATATGAGTGAGTACATCCCATGTTCCTCTTTTTGGGTCTGGCTTACCTCACTCAGGATAGTGTTTTCTATTTCCATCCATTTGCCTGCAAACTTCAAGAAGTCCTTGTTTTTTACTGCTGAGTAGTACTCTAATATGTATATATTCCATACTTTCTTCATCCATTCTTCAATTGAGGGGCATCTAGGTTGTTTCCAGGTTCTGGCTATTACAAACAATGCTGCTATGAACATAGTAGAGCATATATTTTTGTTGCATGATAAGGCCTCTCTTGGGTATATTCCCAAGAGTGGTATTGCTGGGTCCATGGGTAGGTTGATCCCAAATTTTCTGAGAAACCGCCACACTGCTTTCCAGAGTGGTTGTACAAGTTTGCATTCCCACCAGCAATGGATAAGTGTACCCCTTTCTCCACAACCTCTCCAGCATAGGCTATCATTGGTGTTTTTGATTTTAGCCATTCTGACAGGTGTAAGATGGTATCTTAAAGTTGTCTTGATTTGCATTTCCCTGATCGCTAAGGAAGTTGAGCATGACCTTAGGTGTCTTTTGGCCATTTGAACTTCTTCTGTTGAGAGATCTCTGTTCAGCTCAGTGCCCCATTTTATAATTGGGTTGATTAGCCTTTTACAGTCTAGTTTCTTAAGTTCTTTATATATTTTGGAGATCAGACCTTTGTCAGTTGCGGGGTTGGTGAAGATCTTCTCCCAGTCAGTGGGTTGCCTTTCTGTCTTAGCGACAGTGTCCTTTGCTTTACAGAAGCTTCTCAGTCTCATGAGGTCCCATTTATTCAATGAGGCCCTTACTGTCTGTGCTGCTGATGTTATACGTAGGAAGCGGTCTCCTGTGCCCACTTGTTGTAGTGTAGTTCCCACTTTCTCTCCTATCAGGTTCAGTGTGTTCAGACTGATATTGAGGTCTTTAATCCACTTGGACTTGAGTTTTGTGCATGGTGACAGACATGGATCTATTTTCATTTTTGTACAGATTGAAATCCAGTTTTGCCAGCACAATTTGTTGAAGATGCTCTCTTTTTTCCATTGTATAGTTTTAGCTCCTTTATCGAAAATCAGGTGCTCATAGGTTTGTGGATTAAAGTCAGGGTCTTCTATACGGTTCCATTGGTCGACTTCTCTGTTTTTATGCCAATACCAAGCTGTTTTTAATACTGTAGCTCTGTAATAGAGTTTGAAGTCAGGGATGGTAATGCCTCCAGACGTTCCTTTATTGTATAAGATTGTTTTGGCTATCCTGGGTTTTTTATTTTTCCATATAAAGTTGATTATTGTCTTCTCCAGATCTGTGAAGAATTTTGATGGGATTTTGATGGGGATTGCATTGAATCTATATATTGCTTTTGGAAGAATTGCCATTTTTACTATGTTGATCCTCCCAATCCAAGAGCAAGGGAGATCCTTCCATTTTCTGGTGTCTTCTTCTATTTCGTTCTTCAAAGTCTTAAAGTTCTTGTCATATAGATCTTTCACTTCCTTGGTCAGGGTTACCCCAAGATATTTTATGCTCTTTGTGGCTATCATGAAAGGTGATGCTTCTCTGATTTCCCTCTCTGTTTCCTTATCCTTACTGTATAGGAAGGCAACTGATTTTTTCGAGTTGATCTTGTATCCTGCCACATTACTGAAGGTGTTTATCAGCTGTAGGAGTTCTTTGGTAGAGTTTTTGGGGTCGCTTATGTATACTATCATATCATCTGCAAATAACGAAAGCTTAACTTCTTCCTTTCCAATACGAATCCCTTTGATCCCCTTATGTTGTCTTATTGCTATTGCTAGAACTTCAAGCACTATATTGAAGAGGTATGGAGAGAGTGGACATCCTTGTCTTGTTCCTGATTTTAGTGGGATGGCTTTGAGTTTTTCTCCGTTTAATTTAATGTTAGCTGTCGGTTTGCTGTAAATAGCTTTTATTATATTTAGGTATGACCCTTGTATCCCTAGTCTCTCCAATACCTTTATCATAAAGGGGTGTTGGATTTTGTCGAATGCTTTTTCAGCATCTAATGAAATGATCATATGGTTTTTTTCTTTCATTTTATTTATATGGTGGATTACATTGATAGATTTGCGTATGTTGAACCAGCCCTGCATCTCTGGGATGAAGCCTACTTGATCATAATGGATAATTTTTCTAATGTGTTCTTGAATTCGGTTTGCCAGTATTTTATTAAGAATTTTTGCGTCGATATTCATGAGTGAGATAGGCCTGTAGTTCTCTTTCTTGGTTGGGTCTTTGTGTGGTTTTGGTATCAGGGTAACTGTAGCTTCATAAAAGGAATTTGGCAATGACTTTTCTGTTTCTATACTGTGAAATACATTAAGGAGAATAGGTATTAGCTCTTCTTGGAAGTTCTGGTAGAATTCTGCATTGAAACCATCTGGTCCTGGGCTTTTTTTAGAGGGCAGATTTTTGATAACTGCTTCAAGTTCTTCGCGACTAACAGGTCTATTTAGATCTTTCACCTGGTCTTGGTTTAGCTTTGGTATATGGTACTTATCTAAAAAGATGTCCATTTCTTTTGTATTTTCCAGTTTTGTGGCATACAGGCTCCTGTAGTAAGATCTAATGATTCTCTGAATTTCCTCTGTGTCTGTGGTTATGTCCCCCTTTTCATTTCTGATCTTATTTATTTGCGTGTTCTCCCTCTGTTGTTTAATTAGTTTGGATAGGGGTTTGTCTATCTTGTTGATTTTCTCCAAGAACCAACTTTTTGTTTCATTGATTCTTTGGACTGTTTTCTGTGTTTCTATTTTGTTGATTTCTGCCCTCAGTTTGATTATTTCCAGTCTTCTACTCCTTCTGGGCACATCTGCTTCTTTTTTTTCTAAAGCTTTCAGGTGTGCTGTTAAGTCCCCAATGTATGCTTTCTCCGTTTTCTTTAAGTGGGCACTTAGTGCTATGAACTTTCCTCTTAGCACTGCTTTCATCGTGTCCCATAGGTTTGAGTATGTTGTCTCTTTATTTTCATTAAATTCAAGGAAGACTTTAATTTCCTTCTTAATTTCTTCCTTCACCCAGGTGTGGTTCAGTAGTTGATTGTTCAGTTTCCATGAGTTTGTCGGCTTTCTGGGGGCAGCATTGTTGTTGCCTTCTAACTTTAATCCGTGGTGATCTGATAAGACACAGGTGGACACTGATATTCTTTTGTATCTGTGGAGGCTTCCTTTGTTTCCGAGTATATGGTCAATTTTTGAGAAGGTTCCATGAGCTGCAGAGAAGAAGGTATATTCTTTCCTATTTGGGTGGAGTGTTCTATAGATGTCTGTTAAGTCCATTTGTTTCATTACCTCCAGTAATTCTCTTAATTCTCTATTAGGTTTCTGTCTGATTGACCTGTCCATTGGAGAGAGAGGTGTGTTGAAGTCTCCTACTATTAGTGTGTGTGGTTTGATGTCTGCCTTGAGTTCTAGTAATATTTCTTTTATATAAGTGGGTGCTTTTATATTAGGGGCATAGATATTCAGAATTGAGATGTCATCCTGATGAATTGTTCCTGTTATGAGTATAAAGTGTCCTTCTCGATCTCTTCTGATTGATTTTAGTTTGAAGTCCGTTTTGTTGGAAATTAGCACGGCCACACCTGCTTTTTTCTTAGGACCATTTGCTTGAAAGACCTTTTCCCAACCTTTTACTCTGAGTAGATGCCTGTCTTTGTGGTTGAGATGTGTTTCTTGCAAACAGCAGAATGTTGGATCCTGTTTTCGTATCCAATCTCTTAGCCTGTGCCTTTTTATAGGTGAATTGAGACCATTAATATTAAGTGATATTAATGACCAATTGTTGTTTACTCCGGTTATTCTTATTGTTTTTTTGGTAGTAGAGTTTGTGTGTGTGTCCCTTCTTTGAGTTGTGCTGGTGAAGGTTCACTAGATGCCTGAGTTATTGTAGTCAGTGTTGGCATTGTTGGATTCCTTGGGTTGCGATTTTCCTTCTATTACTTTCTGTAGAGCTGGATTTGTGGCTACGTATTGTTTAAATTTGTTCTTATCCTGGAATGTCTTGTTTTCTCCATTGATAGTGAACACTAGCTTGGCAGGGTATAGAAGTTTGGGTTTGCATCCATGGTCTCTTAGCTTTTGAAGTACCTCTATCCAGGACCTTCTGGCTTTCATGGTTTCCATAGAGAAGTCAGGTGTAATTCTGATCGGTTTACCTTTATAGGTTACTTGGCCTTTTTCCTTTGCAGCTCTTAATATTCTTTCTTTAACCTGTATATTTTGTGTTTTGATTATTATATGGCGAGGGGATGTTTTTCTTTGATCCAGTCTGTTTGGTGTTCTGTATGCTTCTTGAATATTCAAGGGGATATCTTTCTTTATGTTGGGAAAGTTTTCTTCCATAATTTTGTTAAAAATATTTTCTGGGCCTTTGAGCTGTGATTCTTCTCCTTCTTCTATTCCTATTATTCTTAGGTTTGGTCTTTTTATTGTGTCCCATATTTCTTGAATGTTTTGTGATGAGAATTTGTTGGCTTTGCTGTTTTCTCTGATCAGTGCATTTATTTTCTCTATGGTGTCCTCAGAATCTGAGATTCTTTCTTCTATCTCTTGTAGTCTATTGATTATTCTTGTTTCTGTAGCCTCTGCTCGTTGACCTAGATTTTCCATATCCAGCTGTTCCTCAATTTGTGTTTTCTTCCTTGCTTCCATTTCAGTTTTAAATTCTTGAACTGTTTCCATTACCTGTTTGTTCGTTTTTTCTTGGTTTCCCAGGGTCTCATGTACATATTTACTTAATTCTTCAAACTTTTTGTTTTTGTTATACTTCTCATCCATTTCTATAAGGGTGTTTTTTACATGTTGTTTAAGGGACTCTATTGCTTTTATAAAGTCAATTTTTTCCACTTCTTCTGTGTTAGGGTGTTCAAGTCTTTCTGTTGTAAGATCTTTGGGATCTGGTGTTTTCCAGTTGGTTTTCAGATTATTGGGTGAAGTTCTGCCTTGGCGCCTGCCCATCTCCTCCTTTCAATGCTATCTAATTGGTCTTTTAAAATCAGAACAGGTTTCTCTGCTGGCCAGAGGCTTCTCTTACTAATTGCCCTCTCTCTGTTTCCTGGCTCCTGCTGGGGGCCAAGAACCCTCTCACCCCTTAGAAGGGTTTTCAGGAACAGGACCCGGCTCCCGTTTGCCAGGGCCCTCGCCAACCAAAGGCCTACCTCTTTGATTTAATTGTAGTGGGGTGATCTGCTCTTGGTGTTGCGTGCTGGTCCCTGGCACCTGCGTCCTCTGCCACTGCGCCAGTCCCTGCTGGTTCCGGCCGCAGCCTGAGGCTTGCGTTGCATGCCTGTGTCTGCTTGCTCCGACTGTGGGCGCCTGCGTCTGCCTGCATTTTCCACTTTTATTTGGTGATTCCTGTACGTGGTAAGTAGATTTTGAGTTCTTTATAGAGTGTAGATATTATACTTGTCAGATGTATAGTGGGAAAGCACTGTTGCCATTCTGATATCTGCCTCGTCACAGTTACTTATTTCCTTTGCACTGCAGAAGCTTGTTTATTTCATGCAATGTCCCTCATGAATTCTTGTTATTTTCTGAGCTGTTTCCAGTTTCTTTTTAGTAAGGCCATTGTGTACCTAGATCTCGTTTTAATGTTTTGTTTTGTTTTTGTTTTTGTTTTTTGAAGATGTGGTTCTCTTTAGCTTTAGAATCTGCCCTAGAACTAGCTGTTTTGGACCAGATTGACCTTGAACTCATAGAGATCCACCTGCCTCTGCCTGCTGGGATTAAAGGCTATGTTTTCCTCAAGTTACAATGGTTTTCATCAAGTTTTGTTGCAGAGATGTCAGTATGTCCCATCATAAATTAGTATCCTTGATCTAATTTGAGTTAGTTTTGGAAAAATGAGGGACAAGGATGAATGATCATCCATTTAGATTTAGTTAGCCAATTTTACCAGTACTTTTATTAAAGCAGCTTTCCTCGATGTTTGTTTTTTTGGTTTCCTTAGAAATATATTAGTAACTGTGGCTGTACAGATTTACTTCTGAGTCTTTGATTATATCACATGGGTCTACATTTCTTGATTCTTGCAGTTGCATTAATTTTTGTTGCTAGCTCCATAGTGTAATCTGAGAACATGTATTGTGCCTCCTCCAGCATTGCTGTGGCTACTTATGATCTTTTGTTTTCATCTCTGTATTTTGGGACTTTGTTTTCCTTTGAGATAAATAGAATTGGGATTTTGCAAGACATTGCTTTGCATCTGTATATTACATTCACTCACATAGTCATTTTGTTCATTTAAGTGAATGGAAAGCTTTTTACTATTCTAGCGCCTCTTTCAGTTTCTTCAGTGTTTTAATGTTTTTATTGTTCAAGTACTTCACTCATCAGTTAAGTTTATTCCTCGGCATGATAACTTTTTGAAATTAACCACTGTACATGAAATTGTGTTTCTGATTTATTTCTCTGTATCAGGGTTTATGATCACTTTTCTTTTTAAATCTTGCTGTGCACTCTGCTTCCTTGGTAAAAGTGTTGAGCACATGTTATTGCTTGTGTTTGAGTGTTTCTACTCTTTTAATTATATGAACACATCACTTTTCCATAGAGATTACTTAACCTCATGTTTGTCATTTGCTTTATTCCTCCTTATTGATTCTTTGTGGATTTCACATCATGCATTCCATCCCCCCTTATCTCTTATTCTTGTATTCATTGCTGCGGCCTCTGCTAGACCACTGATAATGGGCTCTCATTGGTGCTCCTCCTAGATATCCCAATGTTGTTGTATGTCATGGAGATCCTACTGCTTTGAATCTGTAAGTTTGTCCTCTTCACATGCCCCAGAATTTCATAGATGGATGTTGAGGTGGAGGTTGATGTGGACTTAGTCATAGTGCTGGTTCTGGGACTGGGTGTGTGAAGTGACTGGTAGCTGTATAGGTCCACCTACCTTCTTTCCCTCATCAACACTAGCAGGTGATCTCTCTAGCACTGCCTCTGCTGGTTCAAACAATGTTGGCTACAGTAAGGAGGGGAGCCAGTTTTCCTGCGCTCAGGTCCTCAGATCCGGTCTCCTACACTCACACCACAGGGCAAGCTCCAATGTTTTTCACAGGCAAGGTGCAGCACCCTCTCTCCTGATTGCTGTAGGGGGCATACAAGGCCAGACAGAGTCAGCTCTCCTGCTTTCAGGCCCTCGGGGTTGGCTCACTTTTGCCAAAGACCACAGGGTCAGCTCTAGTGTGTTTCTCAGAAAGGGGGCAGAGCCTGCTCTTTCTTGCACTAATGCTGCTGTGGGTTAGGGCTAGCTCTCCAACTCTTGTAACCCAGGGCCAGTTTTCCCACCTGCCTCACGTGGTAATGATGAGGGGGGAGGGCATCATTCTCTCTCTCACCCTTGCCACCATGTGACAAATGAGAGGAGGAAGGATCAGAACTCCTGCTCTCATGCCTTTAGGGTCAGCAAACCTGCTTCCTGACCACAGGGTCAGCTATAGTGTGTTGCTCAGGTGAGGGGCACACCTGTGGCCGTGGGTGGCATTTTACCTGTGTTGGGGTGAGCTCTCCCTAAAGGGGTAAGGCCATCTTCCCTGCTGTAGTATCCAATGAGGGGCAGAGACAGCTATCCCAGGGCCAGTGAATTGTGGGACTGGCTCAGCACAGCATGATTCTACTGATCCCTTCTAATAATACGTGCCACGGACCGGCTCAGGGGAGCCACTCAGACCGTGGGAGAAGCAGGGTTCTGGTAACAGGAAGGCACAAGTTTGGCGAATGACAGACAGACACAACACACAAGAGTGTGGTTGGAATCTGCTGCGATTTTACTGAATTTATGTTTTTATTATATAGTATTCAAACAAAGAACAAATCAGAAGGTCATGTATCATTGGTTGGCACAGTATGAAAGCTTCTATTAGTCACATCAGCAATATTTAAGAAAAGTACATTATCAGGAACAGGTGTTAGACATAAAGCATCCTTAGAAGAGGAAATCTTGTCCTTGGGACTGTAAACCTCAGACAAGTGGTTTCATCTTATGAATAGAAAGTTTCTGTCTCCTTATCACTATCATGGTCCTTCCTCTTCCTAACCCTTTATTTTATCTAGTGACCAAATATACCTACTCAGTTCTCTGCACCTGTTGAACTATACTTTTTAGTACCTCCTTATGCAGCAGACATCATGGGGGTTGGGATCTAGCAAGCCTATCCATAAAGTTCAAAGTATAAAATAACAGTCTTTGTCCATCAACATTAACCCATCTATTCCCTTGCTCATCATACACCCTGTGTATGACAAAGGTTCTGCTGTAGTCTTATACATTCCCATACTGTGCTTCCTTATCCCAGAGCTGTTCCTGAAGAGAATGATCCTTGTCTTGTATATATAAAGACTATCATTATTATGAAAGAAATTGTGCAAAGCTCATATCCCACATAGCCAGCTACTTGAGAAACCCATCTATGCCTCAGAGGTGGCTAATACCAGGCTGTCTGCCATTGGCCTCCAGGAAGCCTAGTCCCATGGGACACGTAGCTCCCGTCCGGCATAATGACATATGTCATGTCACACAGATGACACTGGAGTTGGTGTGACAAATATGGGCCATGGGTATCAATCATCACAGATCCCAGCTGCTGCAGGAAGGTGAACCCAGACATGACCCTAGGTAGCAGACTATTACAGACATATTCATGACACCAGATGGCACTACCATACACACAGATCAATAAGGCCCTGGCAGCAGCATGGTCCTCATGTCATAATGTTCTCTGAGGTGTCTGACCTGTCCCCAGTCATCTGCTTTGCCCGCAGTGGAATCAGGAGCAACAAACATTAACCCAGACCCTGGCAGATGCAGGGAAAAGGAACCCAGCATGACCCTAGTCAGCATCGCTGGCCTGAATGACACCATGTTCAAGAGTGCCAGCATGGGCCGTTAACATCAGAATGTCCCTGGTGGAAGCACAGTCCTCAGACACCTTCATGGCCATAGGTTGAGGACCAGGCCCCAGACATTGATGAAGTCTTTGGTGGCAACATGGGCCACAGACATTAATAGAGACCCTGACTGTGGCAGGACCACATAGAACCTGACATGGTCATAGGCAGCAACCCGTGCCCAGATATCACCATGGTCCCAGGTGGCAGGTCCCTTGTGAGAGAATGTAGGATTTAACTGGACATCATTGCGAGAGGTGCTTCATTAAACTGTGGTTTTCCCTTTATCTTTAGGATACGTGTTTTTGTATTTTAGGATTATATTGGAACTAGTATTTCTGACTATAGACTCAGATCAGTTTGAAAACTCTAACCATTTTATTTCATGCATATCTCTTGCAATTTTGCTATGTCTGCACATGCCACAAAGGTGACCAAATATGACAAGTCATGTATAGTGATATTTTGTTGATAATCTAGCAAATAAAGCTTACCCGAAGATCAGATTGCAGACCTAGGCACAC